GTTGTTCTTGGCTTCTACTACTCTGCTCTTCTCTTGCTGGGAATTTTATGTGCAGAATCCAAGTACATGGTTTATAACACTTCCCAGACCATCGTTCCTGGGAAGCTCAATGTCCACTTGGTTCCTCATACTCACGGCGATGTGGGTTGGTTAAAGACCGTTGACCAGTACTATGTTGGTTCTAACAATTCTATCCAGGTAGGTATCCAATATCCCACCCATGTTATGTTAGCGCAAAGCAAAAAGAATACTCTTATACAATTTCTCTTTTTAGAAATTATTACTCCATTTTTGTTTCTGTTTTTGGTTTTTGGTTTTTAGGGGGCTTGTGTGCAAAATGTCTTGGATTCTTTGGTACCCGCTTTGCTGGCGGACAAGAACCGCAAATTTATTTACGTTGAACAGGCAAGTACTACAACACAACAACAACAATGCCTTTCCCCTTTCTCTACCCTTTCTAATTCTGATACTGGACACATTGATACAATGCAACAACAACAGCAACAGCAACTTTCTTATAAATATATAAATATATAGGAATTGGGGAATTTCATGTTTTCTGAGCAATCATTCATGACTATCATATTGTTTTCTTGCCTGATTAATACAGGCCTTCTTCCAGAGATGGTGGAGAGATCAGAGTGAGGAAGTCCAGAATGTAGTCAGGCAGCTTGTTAGCTCGGGTCAATTAGAGTTCATGTATGCATAACGTTAACATTTTCCAAATCAATCACTCAAATACCGTATCATCATATTTTACTTACTGCTGCTGTCCCTTCCATTCAGTTACAACATGTATAATTTGTTTAAATATCCACATCCAGCTTCTGATGTTTTCCCTTCCTGTCTCTCTACTCCTTTCTAGAAATGGAGGCATGTGCATGCATGATGAGGCTGCAACACATTACATAGACATGATTGATCAGATCACTCTTGGGCATCAATTTATCAAATCAGAGTTTGGTGTTACTCCCAGAATTGGTTGGCAAATTGACCCTTTTGGACATTCTGCTGTACAGGCTTACTTGTTGGGAGCAGAAGTTAGTTCATCTGCATCTTTGGATTCCAAACTATCACATTTCTAGTATTTTTCATTTTTTAGTGGCACACTCTGAACAGACAATGATCTTGATCATCTCTATTCATCTTCATATAGGTTGGGTTTGACTCACTCTTCTTTGGCCGTATAGACTACCAAGATAGCATTAAACGAAAAAGGGACAAGAGTCTTGAAGTTGTCTGGAGGGGTTCCAAGAGCCTAGGCTCATCTTCTCAGGTGTTACACAATTGGCCAGTTTAATCTATTTTAAGATTTAGTAGATGCTTGGACTTGCAGACAGTGTGGTTCACATTGGTTTTTTATTGTGGTATTGAGAAATTTTATCATACTCTTTTTGCTTGAGTCTTTCTTTCTTCAACTTAATTAGTTAATTGTTGCAGATTTTTGCTGGTGCATTCCCAAACCATTATGACCCTCCCTCTGGTTTCTACTTTGAAGTTAATGATGATTCCCCAATAGTCCAAGTAAACTCCAATGAATGTTGTCACTCTCTTGAGTTTCTTGAATACCTTCTTGGTTCTAATGTTAATTTTGTTCCTTCTTCCAATGAAGGATGATATCAATCTGTTTGATTACAATGTTCAAGACCGAGTAAATGACTTTGTTGCTGCTGCACTAGCACAGGTAATTAGATCATCATGCTAGTTGCCAGAAAATTTCTTTAGTACCATCCATTATTTCTTACTCCTTTTCTTGCAAATTTTCTCTTCAGTTCCAAGGGAAGGGAATGCTCTTTCTCTTTGCAAAATGTCTTCTCTTCATTCCCCACCTGTATAAATCTGTAAAGTAATAAATTATATCACAAAATATATCTGCTCAAGGCCATTTTTCTTGAAAACAAGGTTTTAAGTTTTACTGCCGTTAGTCTGACTTCCTAGCTCCAACAATGGATCCATGAAGTGCTGGTGGCACTGCTATTTTGACTTTTACATTTTATGGAAGGGCTAGGAAACCACATGAATTCAAAGTTATA